CTCTCGACGGCGCCCCGGGCCGGCTCCATTTTGTGCGAGAACCAGCCTGGGGAGTCTGGCCCAGCCGGAGGTGCCCCCTGGTCCTCGGCCGCCTCGCAGGGGTCCCCGGCGAGCGCCCCCTGCCCGCCCACCGCCCTCCGGGGCCTGGCGGGCCCGGCCGCTTTGTCTGCCCGTGGCTTCCCGGGCGGGCGGAGCCCTGACCGCTCAGCGGTCGGTGAGTCGGTGATGGGCGCCTGGGTCGTCCGGCCCGCGCTCTCCGCTCTGACCGCTCAGCCAAACCGAGTCGTGGGGCCGGGGCCGCCTGGCCTCCTGCATGGGGAGGAGGAAGCGAGGTCCCCGGGAGGAAGGAGTGGATTTGCTTTGCACGTAGAGAATGCAGCCATCTGGCGGCTTGCGGTCCCTGGACTTGCCCCGAAGGTGGAAAGGAAGCCGTGCGGATTGGACTAAGGTTTTAATCATAGGTGGTGGGAGGCAAGGAGGATGTGCCGGGCCCTAAGGAGTAGTCGTCCCCGAGAACAAAGAATTGCAGAGCACCCACAAACCGTAGTGTTGCCCAAAGTACCATAATGAGATAATCTAAACAAGGTTAGGTAGCAGGCGACCTTTTTAAAGGAAAAATGACATCCCACTAACCCGCATGGACTCCACGGTTCCTTGGTTTGGGCCGCCAATCCCTGGAGTAGTATCAGCCTTCCTAGTACGTAAACGAATGAGCCACACATAAAGTGATGAGCGAAGCGGATCAATATAAATTGCATTAATAAATAGATTTGTTTGTAAAGTGATGAAAGTTTACCAGAATTCCTTACAAGGCAATATTTCCTTCCCCTCACCCCCCTTGTAGCTGTATTTAAGGATTCTCCTAATGCAAAACTCGGGCTGTTGATGCCAGTGCTGGGGGAGGGGGGTAGTGGTGGAAGAAGGGACGATTGCTTTTCTTGGATACGAATTTGCATTTCTTCGAACACTGAACAGATGTATGCACTCCCTTGAGTTTTCACATATATCGTAACCTGCCTTTTTTTTAAAAAAAATGTGTCTTCCTTTAACAAATGGAATCTCTGAGTACATACTGAATCAACTATTTGGGTGAGTGTGGTTGACGTGCGGTTCCCATAGCCCACCTCTTTCCCCCTAGTTCCAAGCAAAATACTGTTTTAGACTAAAGCTTCTAAAGCTTTTCTTTTTGCAAAGACACTTGCTTAACAAGGAAAGAACACTTCTAGCTACAAGGAAGGGATTTCTCTGGGCAGTTTTGAGATTATAAAGCGGGACAATATTTGAAAAGAAATTAGAAACCGCTTTTAAGAGTCTACCAGAGTAGACAATATCAGACAGTCATTGCTTCCTGGACCTTTTAAATGGCACTTTGCAGTTTCACTTCAGTGACTATTGTTTTTGTGTGCTATTTACTGGATTTCATGCTTGACTGCATATAAATATTTCTTGTCCTTCTAAAATGAACCCTGAAAGGATGTGTTTTTGTTCTGCTCATCCCTCTCCCCGTTTAATTGTTTCCGTTGAGAAAGGGATAAACAGCAAATGAGAAATGAAGATTGTAGCCTTGGAAAGGCTACTAATTTATTCAGCTGTTTACGCCTTACAGTGAGACAGATGCAATTTTTGGCCAAAATGATGATGTCTTAAAATTACAAGGATCTTAATTGATTGTGTTAATTGGTTCGTTCTCTGGGCAGTGTATGTATGTGTGTGTTCTTTCCAGTATGCTCTGACATATTCTTTCCGAAGCATTATATTCAGAGAGAAAATAATTCCTCTTTTGAGTTCTTAAATCACTCTGAAACATTGTGAAAGCTATCACCAAGAAAATCAAGTTGCTAAACGGGATGTTAGGAGTGTTAATGTTTTAAGTAATTTAGATATGTAATTTTTGGTCTCTTGTATTCTATATAATTTGGCACTTGCTTGGTATGTTGTGGTGAATATACGTTTATAATGAACATGACTAAAGGTCAAGATTATAAGATTATGTTGGAAATATCCCCCCCACTCCTGTCGAAGGAATGAACTGTTTGTAAGTTCTCCAAAATCTTTCAGTTTAGCAACATCTGCTGGGTATCTGCCTGCCTTAGGCACCATTTTGTACTATGTACCCCAGTTAAGTATGTATGACTAATAGGCAAAATTTTAGGTGCCTTTATACGTTTTTACTAGTCATAGCTGTTTTTCTTTTAGGTTGAAGTTGGCAAAGATTAGACATCATTTTAGAGAGGTGTCCTTAAGCACTACTGAAAACACGGTTCTGACAGTGTTTCGTGACAGTAAGTATCTTTCGTCATTTTGGTGGTTCATTAGCTTTGTCTAGTAATTGGTTAGAAACAGAATGCTTCACTGATTTATATTAGAGATTACTGATGGAGCCTTTAGCCACAGACAGACCTCTGCTCACTCTATTGCTTCCTTATTTTCAGTTACTCACGTGTAGTAAGTGTTTCCTGTGGGAAACTGTGTAAACAGCCTGTGCCACCTTTTTAAGAGGCTGTTTAGCTGGTAAGACGTTAGTCGAGTGGGACACTTAGAGGACAGTGACATGCTGAACTGAAAATGCTGCTCAAAGTGCAGAACAGGTACAAAGTAGAGGTGGGATAGGCCTGTTGTCGTGGAGCAGGTGTGCAGACTTCAAACCCAGCCATGCAGAACAGATGGGCTTTGGAAAGGTGGCTGGCATGCTGGTGGGAGGTGGCAAGGTGCCATCACTAAGAGCAAAGGCATGGCAGCAGGGATGAGAGTCATGTGCCTGGTTGGAGTGGAAACGTCACAGGGGAAAGAGCAGTCAGACCATGTGGAGTTCAGGACCTGCCACTACTAGCTGTGACCTCACTCATAAAATGAAAGGACTCTGCCTGGGACTCATAAGTAAGGTGTGCTCTAGCACTCAGATTTTATCAGCCCTGAAGGGGTAAGAGCTAGGTGAGCAGGAAATCAGCCTCGTTAGGTTACCTGGGGGCATTGCTTATGTAACGCCTTGGTAACTAGGTTTGGATTTGATCAGAAGACCTTAGGAACCATAGTTGGCTCGAGAGTTAGTCTGCTCTTGTTGAATTGACTCCTGGTGACCCTGTATTGATCCCGTAGGGGTTTCTAGGCTGTAATCTTTACAGCAACAGATTCCCAGGTTTTCTCTCCTGCTACACCGCAGGTGGGTGGGAACTTTTCTGTTAGCAGACTAGTAGCCTGGCGCTTAACCATGATGCCAACAAGAACTCCTTTCAAGAGCTGTTAGATTCCAAGTCACGGTGCCCCTGTGGGATAGAGTAGAACTGTTTCATAGGGTTTCCAAAGCTTAGTTGATGGGAGCCGACTGCCACATCTTTTTCCCACAAGAGCAGCTGGTAATTTTGAACTGCTGATGACCTTTGGGTTCATAGACAAGCACCCGGTCACATTGCCATCAGGGCTCCTGGTATTTTAACAAGATTAATCTGAAAACAACATGCAAGGGCTGCTACAAAAAGGTCATGGGAAAAATTACATTGTCTTTTAATTTTTCCATGAACTTTTTGAAAGTCCCCTGATACATGTAAGGTAGGCTGGGGAGTAATGTGTTGGAATTAGAAATGGAAGAGCGTGTCCAGGAGACAGTCTGAATGAGCCAAGGGATTAGGGAGAGTTTGAAGTCAGTGGACGAGCCTAAGATGACTGATATTTTTAGCATGGAATAGTGAAGGATGGTATTACTCTTAACAACATTGCAGTAGGAGATACGGGAAAATGAAACTTAACTTTCCCACCCCCTGTAAGAGTCGGGGGCCTTTTGCAGGAAATGGAAAAGGTAAGTTTCATTTTCCCGTATCTGTCAATATGAAAGGTTGCACGTGTTGCTGTGATGCTGGAAACTGCAACCAGTATTTCAAATAACCAGTAAAGTCATCCGGAGTGGACAGGTTTCAGTGGAGCTTAAAGACCAAGACAGACTAGGAAGAAGGAATAGGTTGCCTACTGCTGAGAGATTAGACCTTGAAAACTTTATGAATAGCAGCGAAACATTGTCTGATACAGTGCTGGAAGATGAGCCCCTCAGGGTGGAAGACACTTAAACTCTGTCTAGGGAAAAAGCTGCCTCCTCAAAGTAGAGCAGGACTCAAAATGCGAAGAAACAGCTTCAAACAGCCATTAATTATCAGAATGTGCACAGGTGAGAATGTTAGACCAGGCATGTTCTATAGACATAACTTGCTTAAATGACAGAGGGTATTTATTAGTTGTAGATTTGGATTTATGAGCATAGAATTAATATTTAATGAGTTCATGAAGAGAAGAAAGAGGCTATCATAACCTTGTATGAAACCAGCAATTAGGGGATGAGTAGTAAAGAGTAAACCAGGCAAGAGTACTGCTTTGAAAATCCAGAGAGAAGAGAATTTCAAACAGAAGTGTAAGGTCAGTAGCGGCCAGCACTTCATAAAGAGCAGTCAGTAGGATGAAGGCAATATCATTGACAATGTAAGAGAGACATCAGCATTGTTGTGTTGCAGTCATAAGGCATATGTAGTGGGGTTTCCATAGGAAGGAAGAGGTGTGTAAGGACTGTGTGGGGTAACACTGATGATAGCAAGGGTGTGTGGAGAATGGCCGTTTGCTTTTTATGTGCACATTTATGGGTGCAGTGAAGGAGACAAAGCCTGTTTAAGGGAGAGTACAGAATGAGTAAGGAGGACTGATGTACGGGAGAGAAGAGGACTTTCTGTGATTTCTTGTCCTCCAAGACGTAAAAAGGAATGTGATCCAGAAAAGGAGCCCTCATGGTCCTCAGGTTAAGTGCTTGCCTACTAACCAAAAGTTCCGTGGTTGGAACTCAGCCAGCAACTTCACAGGAGAAAAGAGCTGACAATCTGTTTCCACAAAGATTCCAGCCTAGAAAACTCTATGGGACAGTTCTGCTCTGTGATGTGGGGTCTCTGTACGTCCAACAACTTAGATAAAGCGTGGTCAAGTGAGAAAGAAAACTCTTTAGTGTCTAGAAAGATTGATGAGAACTATATGAAGGGACAGCACCAATATTAAATTACAGTTATTGAGCTCTTACGGTATATCATGTGGCCAAGTACATTTAATCCAGTGACTTAAATAGGGTCACTACGAGTCAGAATAAACTTGATGGCAGTGGGTTCATTTTAAGTCTCCAAAGAGCTCCATTTTAAAAATGGAGAGGCTGAGGCACAGAGGGTTGTGAGTAACTTGTTTAAAGATACTGTTATTAAGAGGGTAGTTGGATTTAGCTTCAAAGCAAGCGGTCAGTCCTAAGAGCAGTGCTACTTACCTGTCTCCTGCTAAGAGCAGGCTGAAACCAGGGTGCCTTCTCTTAACCATTTCACAAACGTTATCCAGCTTTGCAGTGATTTTTAAGTGTTTTCAATATACACTTGAGACTGAGAATTTAAAGGTGGAGGTTTAAGGACTATAAGTAAAGCTACCAGGAACCAGTTCTGTAAACTGATTGGCATCCAACACTGTATTTTCATCCCACTGACTAGCCGTTTCATCCAGGGGTAGCTGTTGGCATAATATGCCTGTGTTTTCTTACCAGCTTCACTGGGCTCTGGTAATACAGTATTTACACAGTATTTAGACAGTGCTCAATAAGCATTGTGGCACTGTGGATTGGCATTGGACTGCGAACCACAAGGTCAGCAGTTCAAACCCACCAGCCGCTCCTCAGACACCCTATACCCAGTTGCTATGAGTTGGAACTGACTCAGTGACACTTAATAACACCATCTCCCTTGCTAGACCAGAGTTTTCCAAAGACAAGAAACAATACCTATTTTATTCCTATTTTTAATTCAGTTGTTGTTAAGTGTCATCAAGTTAGTTCCAACTCAGTGATCCTGTATAAGGTTTCCAAGGAGTGGCTGGTTCATTGGAACCACCAACCTCGCATTCAGCAGTTCAGTGCGTATCCTGCAGCACCGCACCATTTAATCTGCTGCTGCTGTCTGCCATCAAGTCAGTTTCAATATCACTTATCCACAATGACAGCAATATTAAAAAGGGCACTATTTACTATATTTAAGGAGCTCTGGTAGCATAGTGGTTAGGAGTCAGGCAGCTAACCTCAAGGTCAGCAGTTCGAAACTCCCAGCCATTCCACATGAGTAAGATGAGGCTTTCTGCTCCCGTAAAGATTTACGGCCTCGAAACCCTTTGCAGGATTGCTAGGAATCGGAACTGACTTCATGGTACACCACCATCATTGACAGGATTTACACAACACAGTGACTTAGCCCGGTGACCATTCATCTTATATAACACTTTCAGAGAACAACTAAATAATGAGAGTGGTCCTGACAATGAATGTGATCTCATGATTCATCATCTCACCCACTCTCTGTCATCATCCTACGTGCTCATCCCCCTTTGTTGCACACGCCTGGATGAACCCAATCTTGGCTGGAATCCAACGCATTAGCTTCTGTATGTTCACACCAGGCGGTAAATGGCATCGCTGCACGTTTGGTACCACTATAAATTTAAGGTCTCCAATGTCAGCTACCCACTAGGGAGAAAGATGTAGCAGTCTGCTTCCATCAAGATTTACAGCCTAGGAAGCCCTGTGGGGCAGTTCTGCTCCATCCGATGGGGCCATGAGTCAGAATGGACTTGACGGCTGTACGTTTGGTTTGGGGAATGTCAGCCATTGGCTTGACACCAGTGTTCTTTCCCATCCATCTCCCAGTCTTGGCAGTTGTGAGAGTCTCCCGTTCTTTGTCTCCAGATCCTGTTGATTATTTCTGCTAAAAAGCTTTCTAGCTTCTCTGGAGAGCTAGTGCTGTTACTGTGGACCAGATTCTGGGAGTGACCGACAGTCATCTGGCCTGGAATCATGCAGTTCATTCTCTGGACTGGGCTGCAGGCAGAATGATCTTGTTAACAGAGAAATCTGACTGGCACTCTTCCACTTAAAACCCTTTGATATAGTCTGGTCCTTAAGGTGGTGGTGGTGGTTGTTAAGTGATGTGAAGTGGGTTCCCACTCATAACCACTCTGTGTAGGGTTTCTGAGGAACAGCTGGTGGCTTTGAACTGCCGACCTTGTGGTTAACAGGTGAGTGCTTATTCTACAGGGCCACACCAGGACCCCACAGGGAGCTGCTTGATTCAGTCTCGATCTTGTTTGAGCCAATCTTCCAGTGCCCTCGTGTGGCACTGCGGGCTCATGCTCACACTGCAAAGTTGTTTGAACTGCAAGGTCGGTGGTTCAAGCTCACCAGCTTGCTTGCTCCTTGGAAACCCTATATAGGGTCGCTATGGGTTGGAATCAACTCGACGGCATTTAACAACAGCAGTACTAACAACAAGTGCTCGATGTCTGTTTCCTCTGTGTTACGGATTGAATTACGTCTCCCCAGAATATGGTATAGGTCCTAACCTATGCCTGAGGCTATCATCTCGTTTGGGCATGGGTTGTCTTTGTTAATGAGACAGGATTAGTACAGGGTGTGTCTTGAGTCACTCTTTTGAGATTTAAAAGAGATTAAACAAGCAAGTGGAGTTCTGGGGTGGCCCTGTGGGATAAAGCACTGGACTACAGGATCGGTTTGAACCAAAAGGTTGCCTCCTCAGAAACCCTATACAGGGTCACTGTAAGTCGGAACCACCCTGACAGCACTTAACAGCAACAAATGAACCAGCAGAGAATGGGGAAGAGTGATGGCTAGCCACATGGAGGTCTCCAAGGACCCCGGAAATGAACCTTTCTCTAGAGCCAGCATGGCGGCCTGGTGTGGCTCTGTAGGGTAAGTACTGGATCACAAGTTCGGCTTGAACCCCAAGGTCAGCAGTTCAAACTCACCAACTGCTTTTTGGGAACCCTATACAGGGTCGCTATGAGTCAGAACAAACTTGACAGCACCAAACAACAAACTGTTAAAGCCCTCCACTGGCGCTATTTCCGTTACAGCAGCACCACACACTCTGGAACATTTCTTTTCCCACCTTTGCCTGACGAACTTCTACTCATCTTTCGGTCTCAGTTTAAATGCCATTTTCCAAGACAGCCTTCCCCATAGCATGGTTGTTTTTCTTAGCACCTGCCATTACTTGTTAACAGCTATATGTAACATTCCTTGAGTACCCCCACTGTACTAAAGTCCTTATTTTACATGGCTCATCCCCTCATCTGTACAGAGACCCTGTGAGTTACGTCCTACTTTCATCCTTATGCTATAGATGAAGGTTAACTTGTTCAAGGTCGCATGGCCAGTAGTAGGGGGGAATTCAAACCAGGTAATCCGATTCCCAAGCCTGAGCCTTAGAAGTATTATTAGTAGGCCGCCTTCCCCCACCTCTGCTTCCTGTCCCTCCAGTTAATGTAACATTTGTCTTTGCCAGATGAGGCCAGAGCCCTGGTCTGTGGTGCTGGCGGCTAAGTCACCAGCGTAGGGCACAGCCACATTTGATGAATACCAAGTGCTCACTTGGTCAGTATGTGTTGACTGGGCTTCTTAAAATCTGTTTTCTGTGTTTTGTAGGAAATCTTAGACCTAGAGGAAACCACTATGATTCATTTTCCTGTTAGTAGCTAGTTTTCCCCCCATTCCTCATATTAATGAAGAGTGTCTGGCATATTGTAAACATCAAAACGCAAAAACAAAATCACCACCATTGACTTGATTCCAACTCACAGAGCCCTACATAGGATTTTATAGACTCATAGAACCCTGTGTAGGATTTGCTAGACTCACAGGACCCTGTATAAGGTTCCCTAGACTTACAGGACCCCATATGGGAATTCCTAGACTCAGGTCTTGCAGGAGCCCACAGCCTTCTGTCACTCCTGTGGAGTGGTTGGTGGGCTTGATCAATGTTCGGCTAAACTGCTGGTTGAAAGGCTCTAAGTGCAGGGGGCTTTCCAGAAGGGAACATTGAATCTAGATTGAACAGGAGTAAACAGGACACGTTCTGGGGGAACACTGGGCTAATGTAGGCACTGGGGTTTTAATGGAAGAAAGAGCTTGAGGACTAAGGTGCGCCTGACCCAAGCCATGGTATTTTCAATAACCTCATATGCATGTGAAAGCTGGACAGTGAATAAGGAAGAC